TGATTGTTGTCAGTAGAATGTTCTTATTCCAGTTCGTGTGAAATGATCGGTTGGTTTTGCCGTGAGTCATCCTACAACCCTACATCACACAAAGCCACAACTATCAGAACTCTAACACGACGCGCACAACTAGTATGTGACTCGACAGACAGCTTATCCGACGAGAACAAATACCTTCACCGTGTTTTTACGAAGAACAACTACAACAACGACTTCATCCGACGAAACACTCACCGACCCACTACCACTACCGAAACAAACGACACCGCAACCCCTACGACTACAGCAACCATACCATACATAAAAGGCATGTCTGAAAACATCTCGCGCATCTTACTACCCTTCAATATCCGCGTCGCCCACAAAACCATCACCACACTACGTCAGTTACTAACCAACGTTAAAGACAAAGACGAACCGAGGAACAGACAGGGAACGAACGATTTATTGATTGGGTTTGGTTGGGCTGTGCAAGAAATATTTGGTTCTCAGTCATGACCCACTGTCCTTTCTACAGTCAGTCTGTACACCATGACCTTGAGCCAAATATTTTCCTCTCTGGGCCCTTCCACTGTACTTACAGCAGTGCCCTGACCCAAGATACAGTCTCCTGAAAAGACAGCATTTTCTTCTTTGAGATAGACTATCATGTGATCTGTGGTGTGACCAGGGGTGTGGAGAACTTTTAGTGTTGCTCCTTCCGTCACAATTTCCTCCCCATCTTTAAGGTAGTTGTACCTATGCTCAGTATTGCTACTGATCTCTTCAGTGACACCCTCTTGTGGAAGCTTTGAAATCTTAACATGACCTGCAAGTATTTGTAAGAGCAGAAATGATTCATTGATTCCTCTTAGAATTATTTTTTTTTCTATCATCCATCATGTATCAGGTTTTTGTATTGCGACAACTCAAAATACATACACGTAGTTCTTTTCCTGTTTGTGAGATTATTATCACAAATGTGAGAGAACGAAATACTTATCCCGTCACATAGTATTTTAATGAATATTTATTCAATGTTTGGTTCATAGAATCAGGTGATAACAGGACTATTGCATGAAGCAATTGAACACTTTAATCAGTCAATGATAGTCTTGACTCCCTAAAGCTTTTAGTCAGATTAGACTCCTGGTCAACTCTTTTAGCCCTATAAGTGACCAAGACAGAATTTCTCTTGACAAGATGAATACAAAATCAAGCAGATAATTCATGAAAATAAAAAAAAAATTCAGTTTGGGGATAATTAGTTCACCTAATACCAAATTCTCCCAAATCACATAAAAGAAATTGTACAGCAGACAGTAAGGAGAATCGGGAGTGAAATGGTCAATAATACCTTATGTGGGTACTACTTAAAAAGGGCTTGGCACTTTACTTTTCAACTTACTAGCCAAGTGGCTAGTGACAACTTAGATGTTACAACAATTTCAGTTTTTTTACAAGCTAAACTGGCTGGTGTAAATAAAAAACCACTAGCCAAAACTGAATTTCTACCAGTCTGTGGCTTGTTGGCCACTGTTACTGTCAGGTCATGTTAACCTTTTAACACCTAAGAGTGACCAGCATCTAATTTCTCCTTACAATATCATCCCTGAATCACACATTAAGGTCAGGAGAATAAAAGAAATGATCAATGAGTACAAATTCTCCTTGTCAGCACCTTAGGAAATGTATAGAGAACAGTATGGAGAATATGCATACTGATCCAAAGGTGTAAGAGTACAGTACCTGAATTGTCTATGGACTTAAGGATATCAACAATTCCTCCCACGTGATCTGGATGCCAGTGTGTGATGAGAACCTCTTGAATGCTGGATTGACTGTCTGATAATACTTCTTTGAGTTTAGCAATGTATTCAGATGAACCGCCACTTCCAGTGTCAATCAGTACCCGACTATAAGAAAATACCGTAAATTCATCCAACCAACATGTAGTAGTAGGAACAATAGGGACACACACACTGCGACATATGAACTATTTATAAGAAAAAAAAATTTAGAATAATTTTATTTAGGATGTAAGTTGAAGGAACTGAGATAAAAAAAAAAGAAATTTACATTATCATCAAGATGGACACTTCTACCAGGGGTTTGCAAAGTAATTAGATAAATGTGACCTCTCACGGGAAAACGTTCCGAACGGTTAGCCGTTTTTAAATGGATAGCCGTTCCTCAGCCGTTCATCGGCCATTCGACTGGATTGGCATGCCGTTTGAACGACTCAAGCTATCCGTTCTTGAATATTCATCATCCGTTCGAACCGTTCGAGCTATCCGTTTAAGAAACTTAATCATCCGTTCGAACACCTCTAGCTATCCGTTCTTGAATATTCATAATCCGTTCGAACGCCTCCAGCTATCCGTTCTTGAATATTCATCATCCGTTCAAAC